AACAAATAAAGGTAATGGATTTACCTTTACCTGAACATTATTATAAAACTCCATTAACAGACATAAGAGAAAACCTAAAACAATGGAGATACCATATTCACAGATGGGAAGACTTCATGTTACAGACAAAAATTTTCCCAAAATTAATCTCTAAATTGAGTGCAGGTCTACAAGCTTGTATATGTGAAAGGGTGTTTGTATATGTCTGTCTGTATGTATATAAACTAGTAATATAATCCTAACAATCATATGGAAAAACAAGTGGCCAAGAATAGCCAAAACAATTTTAGAGACAGACAAGGAATGACAGCAGGACACCCTCTCACAGAAACTGACTTCTTACAAAGGTATAGTGATTAAGATGGTATAATTTTAACTCAGACGTGAGACCTAAAAAGCAAGTTGAAACTTAATTTGGAAAGTCACGAACGTTGGGAAAGGTTAAAATTGAAGCAACTGCCCAGATAATAAATAATGATCCACACAGAGTTATATAATCACAACATTTCAGAACACCGGAAATAAACAGAACATCCTAAAAGCTTCCAAATAAGGGGTGAAGGTTATAACAGAAGTACTGAGAATTAGGATGGCATCAGATGTCACAACAGTAAATTAGAAGACAATGCAATGTCTTCTAAATTCTAAGAGAAAAATAAGTTCAAATCCATCATACCATGTCCAGTCTAGATAAATTATCAATCAAGTATGAGAGAAGAGATGAAGGCATTTTCAGACATGCAAGATTATGAAATATTTACTTCCACTGGAACCTTTCTTAGGCAGCTACCACCAAATGAGACGAAAGACAGACATGGATCCAGGAAACAGAGGATCCATTACTAGAGAGCGACACATAAATTCCATGATGATAAGGAAAGGTATGTCTAGGATGACAGCTCTCGTCAGAGAACTGGAGATAGGAGATAGGCCTATCTCCAGTAGGCCTATAGGATAGTCTAGACTAGGATGAGAGTATGCACGCCTCCAGACAAAGGAGCCACTAAGTTATTTACTGTGTCTAAGAGAGAAAGGAATTGCTCAATTTCTTAATGTGTGGTAGAGAGTCTGGGGATAAACTAGTGAGACTTATACAGAAAAACTAAGCAAAGTAAAGGGGGGTCACTTACTTCAGGGAGAACAAAGAGCTGTCCAAGAAAAGAAAAGTAATTAAAATAAATAATATGGCACAGCTATGTAATATTTATATAATTATTAAAAAACTGAACAGGATTTAATGAAAGATTATGTGATAATTACAACACTGGGAAGATAAAGAGGAAGTGTAAGGGTTGGTTGAGACAGGTATAAAAGACTTGTATCCTCATCTTCCATGGTAGGAAATTAATAGATAATATCCAAAATGAAATAACAAGAGGCAGTAGCATGAATACAATAATAAAAAATACATAAGTAGAAGAAAGAGCTAAAAGATTTTTATGTGTCTGCCTGCAGAAAAAGACAGTTGGAGGTGGGAAAGAACCAGGACAAAGGAATGCTGTTTTTTCTCATGTTTTCCTAAAATACGTATACATCACATAAAAAATAAAGTAGAAAGGAAAAGAAAAAAGAAGGTTTCTTCATTATAATTTTCTAAATGGAGGACCAACATGCTATTATGTCCAGGAAAATTATTTGAGATCATTAATAAAAAATGAATGACTAGGAAGACACACTAGAATTTTAGGAATAAATCTGATCAGGGGCAACTCATACAGACAGAAACAGTACTCAATGCATTGTGGAAGGCACAGGGACTTGGAGGACTGAACACCAGACTCTATAGGAGGAGCCCCAACTTTAAGGGGCTTATAACATGCAGGACTGAGGAAACACTACCTCTTCCCCTGGAATTCTTTCTCAGTGTAGCTCTCTCTTTTCCAGAATTGTGGACCCCAACTTTCTGATACCACAGCCTACCTGACTTTAATCTGTGTTTTCTCAACTTAGACCACCATGCTATTTCTCTCCCTCTCATGTCATACCTGGCACTATCCACTTCCAACACATGCAGTTATCTTAGAGCAGAATAATTACATACACCGGTCTTACATTGTTTGTGTGACTACTGTCATATCCATTACTTCTACCTATGTCACAAGCCCCACATTACAATATTATTTTCGCTTTTAATAGTCGGATACCTTTTATGTAAATTTGAAAAGAAAGATTAATATAATCTTTTTCCTTTATCCTGTAAATCTTATTTATCGTATCTGATATTCTTTATCATATAGCTAAGTATCCAAATGGTGTCATTTCCTTTGGTGTGAAGGACATTCTTTAGCATCTAGGCCTCTTTCATTTACCTGAAAATGTCTTTAATTCACCTTCATTTTTGAAGAATATTTTTGTTTGATATAGAATTCTTGATTTACAGACTTTTTTTTTTCTTTCAGCACTTTAAAGATATCATTCCATGATTTCTGATGAGAGTTCAGTGGTTATTTTTACCCTTTTCCCACAGTATGTAAAGTGTCTTTTCTTCTGGCTGCTTTCAATTTTTTTCTTTTAGTTTCAGCAGTTTAACTGTGATGTAGCCAGGTGTGGTTCCGTTTATTACCTTGAGATATGCTAGGATTTTTTTTTTTTTTTTTTTTTTTGGGGGGCTCACGGGCCTAGCCGCTCCGCGGCATGTGGGATCTTCCTGGACCAGGGCACGAACCCGTGTCCCCTGCATCGGCAGGCGGACTCTCAACCACTGGGGCACCAGGGAAGCCCTATGCTAGGATTTTATATCTGTGTTTTTCATCACATTTGGTAAGTTTGAGCCATTAATTCTTACAAATGTTTTCTGTTACTATCACACTTTTACTAGGATTCTAAGTGTACGGATATCTGAGCCTATACTGATTTTGTTTCAATCTTTTCCTCTCTGTTCTTCAGACTGTTTAATCTCTATTAATCTGTCTTCAAATTCACTGGCTCTTTCTTCTCTCATTTCTAATCTACTGTTAACCTCCTCCTGTGAATTTTTTATTTCAATTACTATAATTTTCAAGTTCTAAAAGATCCGTTTGATTTATTTTTCTGCAGAGATTCCTCATCTGTGTAATCTTTAAGACTATTATCTTCCTTTGATTCTTTCAACATATATATGATAGTTTCATTAAGTCTCTGTCTGGCAACTCTGTCTGTGCTAGCCAGGTTTTTACTGACTACTTTTATTTTTCAATTCTGTATCGCAATCACTTACCCTACCCTCTATTTTTGTTTGGTCTAGTGATTTTTGACTGAATGCTGGCCACTGTCAATAAAACATTGTGGACAGTATGAATTCCATTATCTTCCTCTGAAGAATATTAAATTCTCCTTGAAGCAGATAAAAAAATACTAACTGATCTCCTTGAACATGGGTTGGCTTACAGTTATACCCTTTAAAGGCAATTTATAGAACACCTAAGATTCATCTCAACCCCTTTATTTGGAAGACCACTTTCAGACTCCGTTGATCTTATCAGGACTTGGTTTTAGGCTGTTAGATAGGCTTAGAGTAAGTCTCACATGTTACAAACATCTTAACTAGCCAATATTCCAATATCCCCTAGTGCTGTGTCTCCTCCAGCGCTGCTTGATTTCGAGTAATCTGCTCGATTTTCAAATGGATAGCATCTACTCTTTGGTAATTCTCATATGTTCTTATACAGTTGTCCCTCCATATCTGCTGGTTCCACATTTGCAGATTCAACCAATCATGGATCAAAAATATTTTTTAAAAAATTTTCCAGAAAGTTCCCCAAAGCAAAACTTGAATCTGTCACACGTTGGCAACTATTTACATAGCATTTACACTGTATTTACAACTATTTAGATAGCATTTACGTTGTATTAGGTATTATAAGTAATGTAGAGATGATATAAAGTATACAGGAGGATGTGCGTAGGTTATATGAAAATACTACATCATTTTATATCAGGGACTTACTTGAGCATCTGCAGATTTTACTATCCATGGCAGGGGGGCAGTCCTGGAACCAATCCCCCACAGATACCAAGGGACAACTGTACAACATATGTACAGACCAAGCGTCACGAGATAGCCCCATATGGGTATTTTAGGCCCTCTCTATGCACAACTCCCTCCTTTCCAACGGTAAGCCCCGCAGATTCCAGCTGCCTCAGCTAACCCAACTCTGATCTCCTCAGCTCTGTAAGACGGTTAAACTCTGCTTTAACTCTAGCTTTCTGCATCAGAGTCCGCAAGCTGTCCCAATCCTGGGAAATGGTGAGGCATACACCTCATGAATTAACTTCTCTCAGAGATGACAGTCTTGTGTTGCCTGTTGTCCACTGCCTAAAAATAGTTGTTTCAAATCCAGTTTTATATAGTGAAAGTTATTTATCGTGAAAGAACAATTTGGTATCAATTACTCCCTCCATCAATGGCTGGAGGCAGAAGTCATATAATCCTTTTAAAAAAAGTTATCTCCTTAGGATACATTTTCAGAAGTCAAATTGCTGGTCCAGAATAATGTGACATTTTCATGGCTTTTGCAATGTATTATACTAAATTACTCTCCAAAAAGTTTCTGCCAATTAAAATGATACATATTTGGATGTATGCTATACAACCAGGAAATTGAGGTAAATACTACAGCAATGACAACAACAATAACAAACAGGGAATACAATTGGGGCATGTAAACTTTTAAGTAAGTGAGAGAATATAACAGAGGGGCCTAGGGTTAGCAGAACTAAAGTAAATGGTAACATAAAACTGAATCAGCCTAGAGGACTTTCTGATAAAAGCATTCACTTGTTGAACACTGTCCCTCAGTAAAACCAGACAACTAGTAAAGAAAGAGAAAAGAAATGAAAGTGAGGAAATCACATATTCTTTTTCCATGCTATGAGTGGAGGGAAGTAAAGCATAGAAAGACAAATGGATGGAAGGATGTTTGATAGATTATATAAATAGATGGCTTCTAAAAGAGATAAAGAAAACAAGTAGTAAGGGAGATGTCTGTGGGTAAAACAGTTTAAGATTTATCTTTATTTACCGTTCCATCTTCCATCAGCTTCAGACATGAACCAAAATCTGCTAACCGAATATGTCCATTCATATCCATCAATATATTGTCAGGTTTGATGTCCCTGAAAAAAACAGACGCATTCAATTTTTAGTTGGGAAAAATAAATACAATCAGTTACTTGGTAAGATAACCATTTTGTCTGAAAATCTCAACTTCTTTTAAAATTAATACTCTAAGAACATATATTTCTTTAGACTATTTATAGGTTCAAATCCTAGCTCTGATTCATATTAAAACTTTTTAAAATACATGCAATTTCAGTGTTCTGGAGATAAAAAGTACTGTGGTAATTTTCATTGAGGTGAAATCTTACCATTCTTCCTTTAGATTTGCACAGATTCCAATGTGGCCATGGTAGGCCTACTTTCTGCATACAGAGAAGAGCCGTAATTACTCAATACCCACAAAACATACTATCTTCTAGCCCATGAAACTGAACAGGGAAAAATATACTTCCTAGACCCCGAACATAAATGTAAATAAATAAATTTTCAATTACTGCAGGTCATGACAACACAAAAATCAGCTTCACAAAGCTGATTTGGAAAACGATTGAAATAACTACTTAATAGTGATCTCTATTATATAAAGCTATTTACAGATGTTAAGTCAAAGGCTTGTAAGGTATCCAAATCTAACTCATAACAAACTAAATCATGCCAGTTTTTGTGCTTATTTTTACATTTGAATAATAAAAAGGGTTGCAAACCTTTGTGGCAGCTAACCCACTAAAAAGGCAGAGTTCAATAGTTCTGACAGACTATAGCCTTCAAAGCCTAAAATATTTCCTATCTGGCCCTTTATAGAAAAAGTTTGCTGACCCCCGTTACAGATGATAGATGATTGCTTAATACAGACAGGCAGATAGACAGACTGAAAACAGCAGCCTGCATAGGAATTGTCTTCATAGTCCTCCATATTTGAATTTATAACCTCAACTCTCAGAAATGCTATATTAAGAAAAGATTTTTCTCTTGTTCAGAAACATCAAAGAAGTACACTCTAGTGCTGGAAGGAACCTTAGAAATTACCTAGACCATTTTTAGATGAGGGGAAAACTGTATTTTACTCTTTATTTTTAAAAATATTGAACTGCATAGTCATCATACATAACTGCTACTGGTAGAATTCTCAGATTTTAAAGGAGACTGAAGGAATTACAAAGACAGAATTTATAAACATCAGTAATATTTTTGGCTATGTAAAAACCAGGAAATATTAAAAGTTAATAAGAGAAATAAATTGTAGTTATACACTTATCACAATTAATAAAATGTAAAATATTTAACAGGAAATTATAGATAGTACTGCCACTCCCCAAGTATCTCATTACCCTTCCTGATATCACCCCCTTCCTCCACTCCCCAGAGGTTAGCAACCACAATCCTGAATTTGGTGTTTACTATATCATGCATATTTTATATTATTAGTACATATACATGTAACCATAAGACTATATATTTTTCTGAATGTCTTTAAACTTTATAATTGATACCAAACTGTGTGTAGCCTCTTGCAACTTGGTTTTATTCTAATGTTATGTTTCTAAAATTTATCCATGTTGATACATATTGTTCTAGTTCATTAATTTAAATGCTATATGGAATATTTTCACAGATCCAATTTATCTATCAATGCTCCTGATTATGGAATTTAGATTGTTTCCAACAATTTTAGATTGTTTTAGATTTTTATTTTGCTATTACACAAAATTCCGAAATGAATATTTTTACAAATACCTCCTTGTACTCATAATGGGAACATTTCCCTAGGCTATCTAGAAGTGGAATTGCTATGATAAAAGACATGTATATCTTCAACTTTACTAGCAGGATTACTACTAAGGTTAAGACTCTTTTTTACATTATCAATGGTCATCTTAGATTCCTCTTTGGTAAAATGCCAGTTAAAATCCCGTGCCTTTTTTTTATACTGTGTGTGTGCTGTTTGTTTCTGGTTAATCTTCAGGAATTTCGTTTCCTCAGATTTAAGTACATGTGTTACAAATCTCTTCTCTCCGCATGTGGGATTGTTTTTCCACATTGTTTATAGTGTCTTTCTTACTCGTAAAAACACTGTTTAATGCTAATGTAGTCTTATAATTTATAATCTGTATTTTTGTCTTTTTTCACTTTTTTCAGTTTTACTGGGGTATAATTGACAAATAAAATTGTAATATATTTAAAGTACAACATGATGATTAATCTGATATACATCACATTGTGAAAGGATCCCCACCACTGAGTTAAGACATCCATTATCTCATCTCACGTTTACTTTTTTTTTTTTTTTTGGTGTGAACACTTCCATTCTACTCTCTTAGCAATACAATATTATCAACTATAAAAACCATGCTATACATTAGCTCCTCAGACCTTATTCATCTTATAACCTAAAGTTTGTACCCTTTGACCAACTTCTCCCTATTTCCCATACCCCCAGCTCCTGTCAACCATCATGCTACTCTCAAAATTTGCAATTTTTGTCCTAAGAAATCTCCCTTATCCTCTCCTTCCAGGGCTCATAAGGATAGTGTCCTATATTTTCTTTTAAAAGTTTTAAAGTTTTACTTTTCATTTCAAGTCTTTAATCTCGCTGGAATTAATTTTTCTGTGTAGTGTAAGATAAAGTCCACACTATATTTCTCTCTGTCCCAATACCATTTATCGAATGACATCCTTTCACTACTGATGCCTCGGTCAGAAATCAAGTGGATCTGCTTCAGGACTTCCATGCAATTTTAATCAAAAATCTTTAGAACGAAAGGGAGCCTATTAACAATGACCAGGACAATAGGCATGAACTGGAACTGTCACAGGCAAACAGAGGTATGGTCACCCATCTATACCTAGACTACTGTCTTAATTATGAGAGCTCTATAATGACCTCTCTATACCAGTAGACCATGTTTTTAAATTGCCATGGCTCTTCCAGATAAATGCTAGAATTAGCTTAATATGTTCCATAAAACATACTGAGATTTTGATGGGAATCACAATGACTTCACAGATTAATCTGAAGAGAAATTATATCTTTGCAATATGACTCTTCCCATCCATGTATCAAGTTAATTAACATTATAGACACGTATCTTAATTAATGTATATAAATACCTTATATATTAGTTATGAGTCTTCTTTTATGTCCTTCAATAATATTGAATATTTTTCCACAGAGAACTTACACATCTTTTGCTATTGATAGTCTTGGATACCTTACAGTTTTGTTGCTATTGTGAATAGGATTTTCTTCGTAGAAGCATTCTCATTTTGCTTCCAATTTTCATGGGAACGTTTCTCATATTTCACCATTAAGTGTGATCTTTGGTTTAGATTTCCAGTAGAAACTCAATATTGGGAGAATTACCTTCTCCTCCCAAATTGCTAAAAGTATCAGGAGTGGATATTCAATTTTGTTGTCATTTTTGGTATTGAGTTTATTTTTCTCTTTTAACCTATTAATACAGTGTGTTACTCTAATAGATTTTCTAATGTTGAAACTCCCTTGCATCCTGGAATAAAACCTACATGGCCATACTTTTTTTTTTTAATGCGCCATCTATCACTGAATCTAAAACCCCACTGATTGTAAAGATGCACCATTATGGCATGTGCCACTAAAAGAGAGAATAAATTGACTACTATAATTTTAGAAGCCATTTATTTAAAAATTACAGAGATATTAAATTGAAAAATATGTTTGTCTTAGCACTCATAATATATACACTGCTGAATTTGATTTTTTAAAACTTTTATTTTTAGGGACTCCCCTGGTGGTCCAGTGGTGAAGAATCCGCCTTCCAATGCAGGGGATGCGGGTTCGATCCCTGGTTGGGGAACTAAGATCCCACATGCCACGGGGTAACTTAGCCCATGCGCCACAACTACTGAACCTACGCACCTCAACTAGAGAGACCGCGTGTTGCAAACTACAAAGCCCACATGCTCTGAAGCACGTGCACCACAACTAGAGAGAGAAAAACCCGCATACCACAACTAGAAAGAAGCCCACGTGCCACAACGAAAGATTCCGCATGCTGCAGTGAAGATCCCATGTGTCGCAACTAAGACCAGATGCAGCCTAAAATAATTAATTAAAAGGGTTTTTTTTAACTTTTATTTTTATATTCATAAGTGATATTGTGCTATATAACATTCTCTTCTTGTACCACCCTTGTCAAGTTTTGTTGTTAAGGTTTTACTATCTTCATAAAGTGAGATAAATGGCTTATCAAAATTTCAAAAGAAATTTATACAGAATTCAATTATTCCTTTCTTTTTTTTGGCCGCACCACGTGGCATGCGGGATCTTAGTTCCCTGGCCAGGGATCAAACCCGTGCCCTCTGCAGTGGAAGCACGGATTCTTAACCACTGGACCACCAGGGAAGTCCCCAATTATTCCTTTCTTAAAAATAAAAGAGAACTCATCTATAAAGCCAGGTGGGTAAAAGGCTGTTCATAGCAGCTATATTCGTAACCGCTCAGAACTGGAAAAAACTCAAATGACCATCAGCAGGTGGGTGGATAAACTGTCACATATTTACACAGTGGAAGACTACTCTAGCAATAAGGAAAGATCTGTTGATACTACATCAAATTGGATGAATCTCAAAAACTTTATGTTGATCAAAAGACATCAGACAAAAAAAACTATATGACGTATGATTCCATTTATAAGAAGTTCTAGAACAGGTAAAACTAAGCTATGGTGATAGAAACCAAAACAACTGGTGATGGAGGGATAGAAGATGCGAACTGGAAAAGAGCACAAGGAAGCTTTTAGAGTGATGGAAACATTCTACATCTTGATTTGGGATTGTGGTTACACAGGTATATACACTGTCAAAAACCATCACTGCACATTTAACACTTGTGGACTTTATCATATGTATTTCAATTTATAAAAATAAAAGGGGTGAAGAAAAGAAGTACCTTTAAAAAATATGAGGCTGCAGTCTTGTGGAGGGAGAACTTTCCATTACAGATTTGGTTTTTTTTAAACGTTCTTAGTTTATTGAGATAATTTCTATTTCTTCTTGAGTAAGTTATAGCCTAATACAC